AGTCAGGGACTAAAGTGACACGAGTCCCAAACTATAGGAACTATTAGTATAATTCGCCCTTTTAATTTTTTAGTTATTTTAGTTTGGGATTAAAAAGTTTTGTTTGGGATGAATTTCTTAATTTTTTTATTTTTTTATGAGAAAAAAATAAAATGATTATAATTTAAATGTGATATTTTTTTAACCTAAAACTAAAAAATCTATTGCAACTTTTTTTTTTTGGTAAATCAATGCTGAATCTTTTCATGAAATTAATCACTCAAATTTGGAAATCGCTTCTCTTTGATTCAGGTGTAGAAGAAATAATTTCAACTTTACAATTTATTTATTTAGAGATTGCCAAAGTACTAATGTAAAAAGTATCTGTTATTCAGATTAGAGATAAGCTCAGCCCATCAAATTTATATTCATATACATAAAATTTAAATTAGTCAAATATTTCTTCATCAAATTGCGTCCTACTTATAAAACTATATGTCTTGTTAGACTTTCTTACAAAATTGAATATAACCATTTTGATATACTTCTAATGATATTTATAATTCTCTTGTCAATAATAAAAATAAAAATAAAAATTTAAATACCTCAAAGAATCTAGGGTAGCTTGGTTTCCTATAATTGAAAATCTGTAAACAACTGTATATGATGGAGCATCGCTTTATGGTAAACGAAGGGAGAGGTCTATGGCAGCATAGACACTAGTGTCCTCTGGTAGGGTATTTAAAAAGAAAAATGCTTGGGAGCACTAATTAGTGCTCCCACTAATTAGGTGGCAGTGAGTCCCGCCATTAATGATGTGATGTTTTGGTCTTGGAGTTTTTTTTTTTTTTTTTTTTTTACTTTTTTAATGCATTAGTGCTATTAGTGGTGATATTTTTAGTGGGATGAATCATTGTTGATTTAAAAAAGTGTGGTATTATATTGTCCTAACGTTTTAGACAATGAAACAGCCTCCAGGCCTATTATAGTCACCTTCCATAGTCATTGGCCACTAGGGCCGAGGGGTCATTTGCAAGCGATGCACTTACAAGAAGTTATTTGGGATGTTCTAAATAAGTGTATTTTTTATATTTCTAGATTAAAAAGTTGAGAGAAAAAATATGGATATTTGGGTTAATTTTTCGATTTTTTATGGAAAAATGTATAATAAAAAATTATAAAAATTAGTTTGTAGAGGAAAATTAGAATTGGGAGTTGTGCAGCCATAATTGTTGACTTTTGGTGAATAGTATTAACTTTTAAACTTTTTGACTTTTCTCAAACTTCCCAAACTAGGCCTAATTAGGGTAAATTACATTGACAACCCTTACAGTTTATGTTTACTACAATTTCTCTCTTCACTTTTTAGAAATTACATCTCTCCTGAAATTTAAAATTTTATTACAGATTCTCCTCTTAGTAATTTAATTTTTTTAAATATCAATTTTGCTCTCATTGGGTAAATTACATTGACACCCCTCACATTTTAGAAATTACTATCCCCTTCTTAAGGTTTAAAGTAGCATTACCAATTGTCCCCCCGGTTAGTATTAGTTGGAAAAAAAATTCATTGAAAAAAAAAATTAATCGGAAAAAAATTATTTGAAAAAAATTTTTGTTAGTAAAATTTTTAAATTTTTGTTTAAAAACCAACGTAAACTCATTTTTTGAATTTACGTTTTTTTTTCTCAAATTTACAAGTTGAAACAATCATTTATAAACCAAAAAATTATCAAATAAGTTTTTATGACATTTTTTAAAATTTTTGTAAATATAAATTGAAAATTGAAAACGAAATGGTTACCAAATAGGCCTCAGATAGTAAAAATGTCATAAAATTAACAAATAATTAAATAAGTTAACAACGTAAGAAATGATTTATCAAAAAAAATTTAGGCTATGTATGATTTGATTTTTAGAATTTTTTTAAAAAAATTAAAAATTAATTTGGTTAAGAAATAAAAAATAAAAAATAATTATCATTTAAGGATAAAAAATAATTATCATTTTAACTTTTGGGCAGGTTATATACATACGTATGGTTGTTTCAATTTAATTTGTAAAAAATTATTTCTAACCACTCGAAAGATAAAAAATTATATAAAAATGATAATTATTTTTTATTTTTTATTTCTTTACCAGATTAATTTTTAATTTTTAAAAAAAATTCTAAAAATAAAATCATACATAGCCTAAGAATTTTTTGATAAGTCATTTCTTACGTTGGTAACTTATTTAATTATTTGTTAATTTTATGACATTTTTTTTACCATCTGAAGCCTATTTGGTAACCATTTCGTTTTCAATTTTCAATTTATATTTACAAAAATTTAAAAAGTTGTCATAAAAACTTGTTTGATAATTTTTTGGTTTATAAATGGTTGTCTCAGTTTATAAATTTGAGGAAAAAAACGTAAGTTCAAAAATGAGTTTATGTTGGTTTTTAACGAGAAATTTTAAAATTTTACTAACAAATTTTTTTTTTCAATTTATTTTTTTTTGAAATAATTTTTTTTCCAACTAATACTAACCAAGGGGGAAATTGGTAATGTTATTTTAAACCTTAGGGAGGGGATTGTAATTTCTAAAATGTGAGGGGTGTTAATGTAATTTACCCAATGAGGACAAAATTGGTATTTAAAAAAATTAAATTGCTGAAGGAGGAAATCTGTAATGAAACTCAGGAGAGGAGATGTAATTTCCAAAAGGTGAGGGAGAACTGTAATAAACATAAACCTCAGGGGGTGTCAGTATACTGACACCCCCTGAGGTTTATGTTTATTACAGTTCTCCCCTTCACTTTTTAGGAATTGCATGTCTCTTCCTGAGGTTTAAAGTTTCATTACAGATTCCCCTTTCAGCAATTTAATTTTTTTAAATACCAATTTTTTCTTCACTGGGTAAATTACATTAACACCTCTCACATTTTAGAAATACAATCCCCTCCCTAAGGTTTAAAGTAGCATTACCAATTACTCCCTCGAATAGTATTAGTTAGAAAAAAAAAATCATTGAAAAAAAAATTAATTGAAAAAAAAAATAATTAATTTTTTTTTTGTTAGTAAACTTTTTAAATTTCTGTTTAAAAACCAACATAAACTCATTTTTTGAATTTACGTTTTTTTCTTCAAATTTACAAACTGAGAACAATTTATAAACCAAAAAAATTATCAAAAATTGAAAACTGAAAACGAAAGAGTTACCAAATATACCTTAGATGGTAAAAATGCCATAAAATTAACAAATAATTAAATAAGTTACCAACGTAAGAAATTATTTATTAAAAAATTCTTAGGCTATGTTTCAAAAAATGAGTTTACATTGGTTTTTAAACAGAAATTTAAAAATTTTACTAACAAATTTTTTTTTTCAATTAATTTTTTTTCCAATTATTTTTTTTTTCAATGAATTTTTTTCCAACTAATACTAACCGAGAGGGCAATTGATAATGCTACTTTAAACCTTAGGGAGGAGATTGTAATTTCTAAAATCTGAGGGGCGTCAATGTAATTTACCCAGTGAGGGCAAAATTGGTATTTAAAAAAATTAAATTGCTGAAGGGGAATCGGTAACGAAACTTTAAACTTTAAGGAGAGAGATGTAATTTTCAAAATGTGAAAGAGAAACTGTAATAAACATAAATCTCAATAAATATCAATGTAATTTACTCATTTATTTATCATTATTTAAATTGAACAACCGTTTTCCTAAGACTTTTTTTTTTCCAAATAAATTAATTAGTGATATACAAATATTTTGATTACATATAGATTTGCCTGCAAAGTTCGTCTCAAGTCTTTGTTTAGAGCAAGGATCTCTTCTTTGACTTCTTACTTGATGGGTCATTGAGCTCACTTTTGGATCAAATTTCGATGATCCGAACCGTTCACATCTTAGAATTTGTTACGTATATCATACTTGTAAAAACTTAAATTGATAAAATATCGGAAGAATTAAGAACCGTTTATTAAAAAAAATTAATAAACAATTTTATTATTTAATAAAACTTTTAGTTTACGTAATTTTTGATATTCGATCAATATGATTTTTTATAAATATGATATATATGACAAATTTTAAAATTTAAATAGTTCGAATAATTAAAATTAGATCCAAAAATAGATCCAATAGCCCATCAAATAAAGACTCAAGGAGAAGAGTCAGGAAAGGAATCCTTGCTCCAAAAATATCGTACAAAAAGAAGTTAGTGGAGAAGTTGATAAGAAATTTTATTTATTTATTTACTAATACCCATAAAAGTTCTTCTTGCATATAGAATCACTAAAGTTATAGGTATGAAAGACATGAAAAAATCATTATATGAATTCAAAAAGTTAAAAATATGATTTTATTAATTATAATTTAACAAAATTCATTTTACAATAAGAAAAAATATCACACAATCTATAAAAAAAAAATTAAATAAAATTTAAAATTATAAGATCAAGTAAAAATTGAACCAACTAAACACTATTCTTCTCGTATTTATAAATGTAAAATTACTAATTAAGATTGCACAATCTACAACAGCCATTTGGCTTAGATTATGAATTTAAATTAAATGGATTGGATAATTATTTTTGAGTTTACTAATGCTATAAAAATTAAATTAATTAAGAGACCCCTCAATTTCATTAAAATTTGAGCGCTCAAGACCACAGCCTCGATGACCTTGCCTCACAGAGCCGGGCCTGCCTGAGTCACCCATGGCGACTCTTGACCAGTTGTCATATGACTTTGTTTTGTCTGTACGAAGCTTCAAAGAATGGGTACTATATAGTATACTATATAACGTGGTAGCCGAGTAATGCGGGTCCATTGATCTCTCTATGTAGTCTAAATGCTCATCTCTCTGTCACGAACGTTGAAGTTGAATTCTTCTTGTCTTAAATATTTTAATTTTCTGTTTAATTAAATGAGTGTATAGTTGGGCAGTTGACATTTTTAAGTGTGTGTGCGTAATGGCCCGAAGGCAAGCACTTGTATTTCAATTTGTTTATACCAAGTCAGAATCTCATTAGGTTCTTTTATAAGAACCTAAACATAGATGGGCAATCTATGAAAAGCTTTAGAGGCAAAAAAGAGAGATTGTCCAAGCTATGAAGGCTAGGTTGAATTCATCCACCTCTGGGTCTGAAGTTCAAGAAGAAAAAAGTGATGGCTCCATCCATGAAGAGGCTAAAAGGGTATCTCTCTCTCTCTCTCTCTCTCTCTTTCTGAATTTCTAGTAAAATTTCTAACATTGTGGTTGAGATACTCTCTTATTGAGTTCAAATTTTATTATTGAGTAATACAATTTTCTCTTTTCCTATTCCCTTTCTACTAATTGTAATAGAAAAAAAGAAAAAAGAAAAAAAGAAAGTGCTTTGTATATCAATGTTTTGAAGATCAATGGCATAAAATTTTCATTTACATGTTTTCAGGGTGGAACAAGAGGACAATTCTGTGAAGAAAGCACTTCAAAGTCATCTTCACCAAACCTCAAGAGCTCAGGCACTAGGAAAGAGGTAATTAAACACAGAATTTGCTGTTACAATGACACGAAACCATCTTCACTAAACCTCAAAATGCACTTGAAAGTTTGGCCTTTGTAACTTGGCTTTTAGTTTCCTACAACATATATATTTTTTCTTCTCTAGTTTGTTCTTATCGTCTCAATATTCTTACTACTTTCTCACAAACAATTCATCTTAACCAAATGCACGTGTGAAACTAAAGCTCTGTTTGGTTTAGATTTCAAAACATAGTTCCACCACTGATTTGAGTGTGGTTTTTGGTTGCAACTTTCAAATTATAATTCTACACTCATTTCTCAAAACTCATTTTAAACTATAATCATTACTTTTCAAAACTCATAACCAAACACACAACTCAAAACTCTTTTCAAAACTCAAAACCTACTTAATTTTTATTTTAAATATTTTTTTATTTTTTTATTTTAAATATTTTATTTTATTTTATAGGAATATTTTTAATATTTTAATTTTCATAAAAATATTTTGATTTTCGGAATATTTTTAATATTTTATTTTTCGGAATATTTTTAATATTTTAATTTTCTAAATAATTTTAAAATATTTTTAATATTTTTAATGTTTATATAGGCTTAAAAAATGAATTGACGGAAAAATTAATTGACATAAAAGTTATTTGAAAAAAAAAATTATTCAAAAAAATTACTTAAAAACAATTAATTGAAAAAAAATTATTTTTTTATTTGAGTATTTTAAAAATAGTTTGGTTATGACTGTTGATCAAAAATACGGATATCGAGTCATGAGTTGTGTGTTTGATTATCAATTATAAGTTGAATTAAGTTTTGAAAACTATTTTGAAAACTCATCACCAAACAAATTTTCTTATTTCGCATGTCACATCAAACTTTCAAAACTCAATTCCACATACAATTCAAAACTCAATTCAACACTCTATTCAAAAACCATAACCAAATAAATTTTCTACACTCAAATCATAATTGCACAACTCACAAACTCAAAATACAACTCATACTGTCAAATCATATTTATAAAACTCTACCAAACGCAACCTGAATTTTTTTTCATTCGTCATCATATTTTTCACTCTATTCAAACAGACCCTAAACAAATTATTGAAATCAGACAATAAATTTACATGTTTTCACAATTTAGGTAGCAAGCAGATTGATAGAAAAAAACGAGGAACAATAATTATATGGACACATAATCACGGAACATAATGGTGAAGTGAACCTTTTCTGTGGCGTGTCTGATGTATATGACTATAGCATTCTGTAATCCATTTTGTAATTAGTTATGTGCCTATAGCATTCTGTAATCCATTTTGTAATTAGTTATGTGCGTTGAAAAAAAAGATAAGAAGGGCCTTAATCAAGAACTTGTTTTAACATTGTGGTAATATAATATGTAAAAAATAGTTAGACAAAATGGATAAAGTCCGATTCAATTGCAACAAAAAAAAACCTTAACATTTATGAACAAAAATTGTCTCAAATTTTATTTATCAGCAGGTTATAATTGACCAAAGCCATTGATTACCCTTTTTCTTGGTATCTCATTGTTGAATGCTCTAGGAATCTGAATATACTAATTAATCTTGCCATGTAATGACTTCAAATTTTTGTGCCCATTTTTTTTTACCAAAAGAATATTGAATTCGTGTATTAAAAATTTGTTTGATTTGAATTCTTGTGATCTTAGGATCCCTAGGTCTTCAGAGCCCATCAACTCTATATAGATGTTTGAATCATTAGGCAAGTTTTAGATAAATTGATATAAGTAATTGAAACATTAAATTGAAGGGTTATCTTTCCCAACTGATTGATATAGGCCTCAAATTTTATTGCAGACCACAAAAGTAAAAATGGTTAAATATATTGTCTGTCCTTAAAATATGCCTTATGTTTCATTTTTGGTTTATAATATTTCAATTATGTCAATTTAATTGATCTAAATGATTCCAACTCTGTTTCTATCCAAATTTTATCTAAATTTCAACCAAAGTACCTCTTTTCGGTTATAAAATTTGAAAGGAAGGAGGTGTTTGGAACATTTAAACACAAATTAGATAAGTTGTGGACTAAATTCTTTATTTAGCCGAAGTAAAAAAAGTTAAATGATGTCTTTCATTACATTTTTTTTTTTTTGTGTTGAATTCTTTAACTTCTCATAAATTAAATCTTATATATACTCTAATTCTTTTCTGGTTTGTGAGATAGTATGTTGGAAACTTGGAATATACATTTGAATTGACCATAATTGATTTACTTATATCTAACATTTTTTGTTCCTCTAGCATGATGAACTTGAATCAGCAAAAGCTGAGATGACAGAAGTGAGACAAGAAAATGCAAGATTAAAGATGATGTTGGAGCAAATAGAGAAGGATTACCAATCCCTTCAAACGTGCTTCATCGACACAATTCAACACGAATCCAAGAAGAAGAATGACAATCTCTCTCTTACTCATGAAGATGATATTGAAGAACCAGACCTTGTATCTCTTCGCCTTGGAAGAAGCCCAAGTGAGCCGAAAAGAGACAGTAACACTAACACTAACACTAACACCAGCAGCTCCAGCAAGACAAGAGAAGATCATGAACAGTTGAATGAAGATCTTAAACTTGGACTGGATTATAACTTTCAAGGGTCTAATTCTAAATCAGATTGTGTTGATCACACGTCGGACCAGAGCAAAGATAATAGCTTGGAAGAAATAGTTAACAAGGAAGAGCAAGCAGGGGAGACATGGCCACCGAGTAAAGTTCTGAAGACGATGAGAAGTGGAGATGATGAACTTTCACAACAATCAAGTTTGAAGAGAGCTAGGGTTTCTGTGCGAGCTAGATGTGACACTCCAACTGTGAGTACAATTAATCCTTCATGTACCAATGTGACCATGAAATACTGTCATGCATAATTTCTATACCATTACAAAAATGTTATAAACAAGAACTTTTATTTATTTATTTTTTAAAAATAAAAAACAAAAAGAAATCTATAGATAGGAACAAATGTGAGTGATTGGATTTTTCAATGATTGTAGAGTGTTTTTTTGAATCTTCTGTCGTAGTGACAAACTTGAATTGGTTGACAGATGAATGATGGATGCCAGTGGAGGAAATACGGGCAGAAAATTGCAAAAGGAAATCCATGCCCACGAGCATACTATCGATGCACGGTTGCACCATCATGCCCAGTTAGAAAACAGGTATATATTCAAATTAAACTTCAGGAAGAAAACATGATTGTTTGGTGTTTGTTTGGAGGGGAAATAAAAATTCATGACACGATGCTGCTGTTTTTCTCATTTTCAGGTGCAACGATGCGCTGATGACATGTCGATCTTGATCACAACCTACGAGGGAACCCACAACCACCCACTTCCGATTTCAGCCACCGCCATGGCCTCCACCACTTCTGCCGCTGCTTCCATGTTAATGTCGGGTTCTTCAACCTCTCAACTACAACAACCAGGTCTAAACTTCAATCTCTCTGACAATTCAATTTCAAGAACAAGACAATTCTACTTACCCAACTCATCCTCACAGCCTTTCCCAACAATCACTTTAGATCTCACTTCAACTTCAACTCCATCCACTCATTTCAACACGTTCTCTTCAAGCTTTCCCTCAGCCCCAAGATTTTCCTCCACAGGTCTCAGCTTCTCTTCCTCTGAATCCAACATTTTACCAACTGTTTGGGGCAATGGGTATCCCAATTATGGTACACTGCCCTACAATAATAAGACCAATATTGGGTTTTATCAACCTTCTTACACAGATCAAAAGAACAACCAACAAGGTCCTTCTGATCAACAGTTTTTAACAGAGACTTTGACCAAGGCAATCACATCTGACCCGAGTTTCCGATCGGCGATCGCTGCTGCGATTTCATCTATAAATGGAAAGGGTGAGACCATTCAGGCCGTTAATTCTAATCCTCTGAACCCAAATGGGAAAGCTTGCTCGTCAAGTTACTTGAACCGATCTTTGAATTCACAAGTTGGAAATTTAATGCTTCAACAACAACAACAACCTCCATTGCCATTTTCTTTATCTAAGAACACTTCTGTATCCGCGGCTGATAGTAGGGATCAGATCAATTGATGGGTTTTTGATATATTGACAGTTGAGTGTATACTTTTTTTTTTTTTTTTTCTTCTATTTTTAAGATTTAAATGTTATACATGGAGTTCTATGAATATCAGATGTGTTGACAAAGCCATGAAAGCAGGAAAAGGCAACTCATCTTGGATGAGGGACACTGTCCCATGCTGTCATTGCTTTGTATTCACATTCAATCTATGCTATAGAAATGTAAATTATCTAGCAACCAATGAAGTTTCTGCTTAAATAAATGTGATATGTTTCTGTATTTGTCAGTGCTTTACAAACAGAAAATTTATATGAAATTTTAATTTGTGGCACACTTTTGAGCCATGTCATTAGCCAGAATTTGCAACTTGATTTTATTTTTCCACATTCATGATTTACCATGCTGATTTTAATTGAAGACTTGGGGAAGCACACATTTTACTTGAAATTGATAAGATGGTGAAAAGCATGCATGCATCAATATGGATTAAAACCAAATAACATGCAAGGCTTTCCAATCTTATTAAAAAGGAACCAAAATTCAACACCAACTCACCCCCCCCCCCCCCCCCCCCCCCCAAAAAAAAAAAAAAAAGAAGAGAAAATTTGAGATTAACAATTATGTGCAATTGAATCCATATAGGCCACACCATTTTCCCTTAAAAGAAAATAATTCAACAACTTAGAATTAGTTTCAAATCTGATTCCATTCTCCAATATTCATTTTCATTGAAGTTACTTTTTGGATAATTACTTCGTATGTGCGAGACATGATTACATATATTCAAAATTAATCGAGTCAAAGTCAACTCAGGACTACATATCAGTAATTACTACAGAATTTTTTGATAAATTCTAAAAAAAAATTGAAAAAGTCAAAATAAGCCCAAAAAAATTATTAGTTTTTGCTTATTTTTGTCTTTTCTGAATTTTTAAATTTTTCCGTTCACCTCATCGAGTTGAATCTAAAAGCTTAAATTTTTTTTTAAAAAAAAAGTTCACTAAAAATGAAAACAAGCACACACAAAAAAAAAAACACTAAATAAGTAAACCTCAAATACTCAGTAAAAAAATTAATTAACCCTAAATATAATGTTAGGCTTAAGAACTGGAGGGGATCCACCTCCTTTTAATTTTGGTTATAAATTATTAATTTCCAACTTAAAATAAGCTGCACGAAGCGTTTATTGGTTATCAAAAGTCATAATATTAGAAATTAGAAAATCTGCTGAGTGTAAATTTCCAACAAATCCATTATAAAAAATTAGGAAAACCTGATTAACTTCTCAATAATTACATGTCCTTGGTAGGGTACACGAATTGAATTGCTTAAAAGTCTCGCCTCATTTTTGTTTTTGTAAAACAACAGGCTACTACCGTTTTAGTTTTTAAAATTGTTGGGAAGCATTTGTGATTGTTCAAGTACCCACCTCAATACGTTTAAGCTTGATTTATTCAAGTTTGTTTTTGTTTACGAGTCGATTTAGAACGAATTCTAATGATTTTGTCTTTGTTTTCTAGATAAAATTTGGCCTTTTAGCCTTATTTTAGTTTTACCCTTTTAACCAATTAATGAAATGAATTACTGCATTACAAAATGGAAAAATTAGTGAAACATCACTCTCCAACCTCATGTAATAGGAGAGATTCAAGATTTTTTTTTTATTAGTTGAGATCTCTCGATGAAATTTTTATGTAATCATATTTCTCTGAGTCAGTGCCGAAATCTCTTTAAGTCGATTTTCTCTATGAAAATGTTGAGGGATTTCAACTATTATAAAAATATTGTAGATCATTTATCTAATAAAATCTTAATATAAGGGATTTTAAAAAAAATCCCCCCTACAAAATTCTTGATCTTATTTTTTCTATTTTTGGGTTATATACATTTAGATAATACTATTTACCAAAAAAAATAAAAAATCAATTAATTAAATAAATCAGGAAAGCCAATGTAAATGATAGAATTGTATTTGATTGGCTACTGTTTTGCATTCCTCCTCACTTCATCTTTACTCCCATCATTGCCCATTCCACAAAATATTGCATAAATACGCACACATATTTATATATATAGATATAGCTATAAAACAGCACTGTTCCTCAATCCCCTTCATTTTGTATTGCAAAATTTAAAAAATAAATAAATTTAAATTTAATACAGATGAGGTGACTGCATGGCATTCACAAAAATTGTTCCTAACATGGTACACCTTCTTTGCAACCACCTAGCACACCGGAAAAGCGGGTGAGACTCTTAACTGCTCTGCCTGGCTTTGCTTGAACAACGTCAAGGCCTCCAATTCGCTTGGCCCCATTGGCATCTCCAGATTGCACAAAGAAGGCTCCATTCAAGAAAAGATCTTGATCTGATCTCCATGTCCATTTCTTCCACTCTGACTCAGGGGCGTCCCTATGGGTAACCTGTAGAAATAAACATAAAAAGTGAGGCCCATCTAATGATTAATCTTTATTAGTAATGTTTCAAACTCATGATTAATGTCATGCTTATTGTACCATTTATTTTATTTGGTAGTAGTAGTACCTGTTTAAATTCAGGCCTGGGTGGAGCAATGAAACGATTGCCCTGGCTAATGAGAGTGGCATGGTGGCTACCGCCAATGGCATACATGTTCCAGTGAGTGTAGTCATTGTTAATGATATGAACGAATCCTGATCGAACCCTCGCATGAAGAGATAGCAACCTCTTTCCGAAATGGTTATATATAACTGTAATTCTCATATAGTCATCCTCAACGTTTGTATCACGGGCACCAAATAGCAGCACCTGCACACCATCCCCATGAAAAAAATTTACAAATTTAATGTCAGTCAAGTTCAAAATCAATACTTGTCATGCATGAATGTTAATTTGAAGTTACCTTATCGTGATCTGTCCAATGACAGTTTGAAATGGTGACAGCAGTAGATCCCTCAATGATATCGATGATGCCATCAGCACATCTGTACATGGAGAGATGATCAAGCCAAACATTTCTGGACCCGAAGACCGTAATGCCATCTCCATCGCTCACAGTTCTAAGACCAACATGATCGACTGAGTCTCTGATCATGCCGCCATTAGTAACCACGATATCGTGGATGTAGAGGTTGTGAATGATGACGTTCTGGACAAACTGGATGGTAAAACCAGCACCATAAGCGATGTGTACTTTAGCCCCACGGCCATCGATGGTCTTGTGGCTCTGCATGATCAGCTCCTGTTTCAGCTTGATTGTCATGCTGCGTTGGAATATGATCCACAGCGGCTCCTTCTGAATCACGGCGTGGCGGAGAGTTCCGGGCTTCGGGCTCACGACATCGTTGTCAGAAGGATCGGTGACGACATAGATTTTACCAGCCTTGCCACCGGTGGTCTTACGGCCGAATCCGATGACACAGCTTGCCAGCCTCTTTCTGTCCTTATGCCAGTTGGGTGTGCATCTCCAGCACTTGTCAATTGGATTGGTGGGCTTGCATGGCCCTGTGTACCTCTTACGTGCTAGGCCTCTCCTTGTGATGTTGCTTGACACATGAGTGACCCTTGGTGTGGTGAACAATTTGGTGCAGTTGGTCTCGTTTTCATTTAATGCCCTGTGAACAATGGAAAATAATGATATACAAACAAAAATTATATGTAAAAACGTTGAATTTGTCTCTAATTCTAACAAGTTCAATCCGGGCCATAAGCCTATCATGCATCCTATTTTGATTATTCAATCGGTGATTTATGTGGATCATTTAAAAAAAATAGATTGATTTGATAGCATTTTTCCATATGAAATGTAGACTTGTCATTTCCTTTGTGTGGTTGGTGGATCAAAAATGCTACAAACACAGAAATAAATCACATACACAAACCACCGATCACACCAGGGGATCGCTTCTACAGAAGCAAACATCCATTTTATGCAAGTATTGGTGATTGGTTCAGTGATTTATTTGTATCGGTAACATTTTTGTTATTGGACTCATACACATACCATTCGTCGGCGACTTCTATGGCCTTGGATTCTTCAGATTGGTTCTGCAAAACCTCATCAGCAGAGAGGGTGGGAATGAATGCAGCAAAAGAGAAAAAAAGGATGAGGATACAAGTGAGCTTGACTAGCTCCATTTTAAACTAGTATTGGTTTTTAAGGTCTATTTTGGACCGAACCCCTGGTGTGCTATGGGATCGGACTTTAATAGACCAAACCAAAATCGATCAAAACCACCTCACCTTATTGGCAAGCATCGCTTTGAAATGGAAGTGGTAGATATATTTTGATGTCGAACAACAGTTTTTATAGTTTCTCATGATTCTAAAATAAGACATGTTGAGCCGGGAATAAGGAAGGCCATATTGTTTTTAAACTGTCAACCATTGTTATTCGCTAACAAATTCCTTTGAATCAGTCTTTACCAAAGATAGTTTAAAAAAAAAAAAAAGAAAAGATATATATACGTATATTTAGGAACTGGATTCAAATCTTTTCTATTACATTTATGGCATGGAGATGATGACCCTTTCAAAATCAATTGTGAAATAGTTACATCTACATGTTTTTATTTCAAATTTATAAATAAATTTAAAATAAATAAAAAAACTTAGGGGAGATTTTAAATTTTAATGGTATGTTTAATCTTGTATATAGAATGAAGTGCTATTCGGGTCTATAGATTCTACCATGATTCAATTCGTTCAACTTTTAGCCCCTATAAAAGGAAAAAAAAAAATTATCGAAAGGTTGGAATTGTTTCCATATACAAGAGTTGTTTAAATACTTTCAAAGAATTGGAGAAGCCCATGTAAATTTCTATATATGTCTCTTTATAATTGGATACAACGTTCATATATACCTTCATCCAAATTAAAATGGTAAAGCAACTACAATTTTCAAATAATATAGTAGGGTACAAGAAATGGAATTATTTCCCCATATACAAATGTCAAATGTCAAAAACTGCAATTTATATCTGCCAATTTTTTCTGAGAAAATATGCACAAATAAGTTAGATGAGTTGTTTTGGCAAAACAAAAAAAAATATTGAGAGAGAGGATCACATCTGAAAACTTAAGCAGGGAAAGAAATGTGCTAATTCTTAAGCTCACTTCTTTGGATTCTCAAGTGATAAAACTTCAAAGTAAGAAAAAGAGGAAGAATAATGAAAAAAACAAATTAATAGAAAAACATATCTGAAGAAGAGATTCCAATTGTAGAAGTTGAGGTTTTGAATATAGTTGACCAACAGAAATTGTTTCTGATATGTAACTATCATATAAAGTGTTTTCAAACACAGAGAAAACAAATGAATCATTCTTGCCTTCCATCAATACAACAGTACTGTACTATGAGTCAAGATGCTGTCCTATGCACTGCACTACACTTTTATAAGTTCGGATGCTTTTTAATACAAACAAACATAAAAAAAAAAAAAAAAAAAAAAAAAAAAAAAAAAAAAAAAAAACCAAACTCCAAAACAAATCAAATTCTCGAGTTCAGATAAATTAATTGTAAAAAGCATACTGTTTGCAAGTTTTTGTTCAAACAATCATGAGCCCATTCTAAAGATTCCAGTGGTAACTGAAGGAGGATCCTAACAGACAATTTTAACCAACCGGCCTTGCAATTTCTATGGCTACGAGAATAGGTTGAGGAAAATATGGATGATAATAAGTCAAGCGGAAAAAATATAAGGCATTTGTACAATTATCAAAAATATTAAAAAAATTATTTAAGTTTCTTTTTTTGACCATTACAAAAATACTTTAATTATTTTTTACATTTGATTTGTAAATTATTGTATGTCATCTACTACTATTTTTTATAGACATACTAGACCATATTCGTATCTTATTTTTTTAGTTTTTACCCACATTTGTAACTAGGCAGTATAAAGGAGAAAAAGTAAGATGGTCATAAATTCAAAAAATGCCCAAATCCCGAACTATACACCTTGACACAGTTCTAATTTTGTATGTAAAGACGGTAGTACTTATTCAGTTACTAGAAATGACATCCTTACCTAATTATTACAAATGTATATACAACCATACCAAAATACCGCTTTAAATGTAGTCCTGTATCAGCATAAGTTAATATTCCAAGTGCAGACAATTCTTGAAGAATACACTTTCCTTCGAGTGAAAAAGGTAACACTTTAATTTTGCGGTGTTTGGCCACCCTGCAACTCTCCTTCAACTCACCAGATGAAATTTCACTGAGAAACCTGATAAAAAAAAAGAGTCCCCCACCTGCATCCAAACACCACTTAACATTAAAACCATGTCACTAGAGGTAGAAAACTGCCAGTCACTAGCAAAGAGATCGACCGTTTGCCACCACAGAAATTAATGTCAATGGTGGTCACTGAAAACATCTGGCAGACAAAATTTTACGGTCCCATAAAAACGACAAATACGTTGAAAAAGAGGCATTAGATCTTTGTTGTAGACAGTTTTCACATCACAAAAAGCAAATTCCCAGCAGCACTTATTCTCTCACACTTTTGGCCATATTTAGCAAAAATTCTTCCTTCATCTCTGTTATTTACCAATTATCTCCATTACTTCCATAGCAATTCACTTCTTTATTCCGCTTTACTCTTTCAAGCAAAACCTTAAAGGAAAATGGAAGGGCAGTGTCATAATAAGTGAAAAAAATCTGGATCGACTAGACAAACTTCATTCCTTTTTCTCTTTTGATAACTTGACAAACTGTCCATTCAAATTGGTAAGGTCATATTGCTAAATTAAAATTTCTGTACTTCAAAAATAAAATACAATAAAATAGTCACACTATCTGGCAAGATACATGGCACTGCAGATTATACAACTGAGAAAACACTATACCACTTGTTCCTGAAAGAAAACTAGAAAGGAATACATACATACATTAGGACACAAATACAAAGAAATGAATCTCTTTTTCCATTTTTAAAATTGAATTTATAAAATTAAAGCCTACTGAACTATGTCTAGGTTGATACATCAGCCTATGATGTGTGCCAAAAGAACCAATAAGCCAAAAGTACATAACCACATGAAGAAAACAGGAATCAACTTTTTAACTTATGGTTAAAATACCCAGACTTTTTGTTCAGATAGAACCCCTTATAATTGTATGATTACCATCTTTACAATTAGTGTTTAACAGCCACAATCAAATTTATTGAAAGAATATATGTATGAAAGCATGATTCCTTTTGTACACTGACACAAATAACGTGTTCTGGTTATTGAGAAAAACTATTAAGAAAGCTTTTAATAGAAGTAAAATTCCCGACTTTCCCTTTATAATCCAACAGGGAAACAAACATGGCACAAGAGCCTTATCACCGAGGTTCCACACAAGAATTGAAAAGGCAATAATTATCTTCCACCCTTTAACCAGTAGCTATCATGATTTCCCTTGCAGACGTCTACCATGTCATGGCAGCAACTATCCCTTTATATGTTGCCATGATCTTAGCTTACATCTCTGTCAAATGGTGGAAGCTCTTCACACCAGATCAATGTTCAGGCATCAACAAGTTTGTAGCAAGATTCTCAATCCCACTGTTGTCGTTCCAAGTGATCTCTACAAACAACCCGTACAAAATGAATGTGAAACTTGTATGTGCTGATTTCGCTCAAAAATTTTTTGCCTTTTTTGCATTGGCAGTAATCACAAAAATCAGATCTAGAGGAAACCTGAGTTGGATCATAACAGGGCTCTCTCTGTCATCACTGCCTAACACTTTGATCCTGGGAATTCCAATCCTGAGAGCCATGTATGGGGATGAAGCAGCTATGCTCCTTACCCAGATAGTTGTATTACAAAGCCTAATTTGGTACAACCTATTGTTGTTTCTGTTCGAGGTCAATGCAATGAAAGAAGCCTATACAACACCACCAACTGAAGTTGCTGGTACATACACTACATTCACATCCAATGAAATATATTCTAAACCTTATTTTTTTTATAAAGTAAATAGTCTCCTCTCATATAACAAATTCTCTTTCAAACATCTCGACTGAATTTAACAATGGTGCACTAACTTTAGTCAGCAAAGAGTACCAATATGGGCCCATCATATTTATGGTTTCTCCCTCGTTTAATTGCTGTCATGCATGTCTACCAATTCTCATCCACAAACTCTCAGAAATAATGTTAAAACATCAATGGATTTGAGTTACTACACCTCACTATCATTTGTGTATTACACATCACGAATCTATTTGTTCTTTTTCACCTCATTTGGAATGCATGGTTTCTATGCTATGTAGAGCTGGAGGCTCCACAAGAAGCACAACCAAAAGAAGGAGGGCAAGAAGAAAAAATCACAACTCCTAGAAAAACAAAAATTATGCTTATTCTTTTGACAGTGGGGAGGAAGCTCATAGTCAACCCCAATACTCATGCAACCGTGTTAGGTCTTGTTTGGGCAAGCATACGCTTCAGGTAAGCATCACAAAGTCATAGGTTTCTTAGAGTCACAACAAAGTTCTGCTTAAAACAGAATTGCAGGTAATTTGCTTAGCCTTGCTGTGACTCATCAGCAATATGGTTGAATGTGTTGCAGGTGGGGATTGCAATTGCCAAAAATTGTTGATCGATCGATATCAATATTGGCAGATGGAGGGCTTGGAATGGCGATGTTCAGCTTAGGTATGATCAAGAATCAGTTTTCCCTACTGATATACCATGGGTTGTGGGAAAGAAAAATAAAACAACATACCATGTCTAAACTACTTTAAATTTGCTTCTTAACAGGTCTTTTCATGGCATCACAAGCTAGCATAATAGCATGTGGAACCCGAATGGCTGTATTAGCCATGGCAATTAAGTTTGTTGGGGGTCCTGCCCTAATGGCAGTGCCCGCCGTCGCTATTGGATTAAGAGGAACATTGTTTAGAGTGGCAATTGTTCAGGTGCAAAACTATAGTTTCTGTAGTCTACACTCGGAATAGAAAACTTAATAATGTGTTTCATGATGCAGGCAGCTCTTCCTCAAGGAATCGTTCCATTTGTATTTGCCAAAGAGTATAACGTACATCCAGACATCTTGAGCACCGGGTAAATAATATCCTTCTGCTTCTCAAGGTTTTGACAATACCTGAAGCTAAACTAGATATTGGAATCTGCTTTTGTTGTGGTTGTAGGGTAATCTTTGGCATGCTCATCTCCCTGCCTATAGCATTGGCCTACTACTTTTTGCTTGCATTATAAGTCAAGGAAAGCACTAACAATGGATTGCTTAGAAGTTATTATTCATATTCGAAGTTCTTTCGCTAGCACTGAGATAAATTGTCTACCAAAAAATAAATAAATGTATCCTCCAATAAAACAATTTAACTTATATGAATATATTCATCTAAGTTTACTGCATCTGTTTTGGATTGTAATGGATGTTAAAGCGATAGATGCAATACCTTGCAGGGATGGATAAAGTATTCATGTAATCATGCTGCTGTCCCTTGGCGCGTAAGAGAGACTATTTAACTATGTGCACATTTCCAGCCAAAAAAAAAAATCTAACAATTCAACAAATGAATCATGACAATTACAAAAACTGAATCATAGATTTATCAGATTAAACAATTTATTGTTACAACTAACACAGAAAATCACTCTGCATATGAGGAATGTCCTAATCTAAGAAACACGGGCACTTCTAAGAAGGTGACGTATCCGTGTCGTGTCCGTGTCAGACACCGACACTCTTTGGACACTCTTAGGACACATGTCCAACACTTTTCAAAACGTATCCTATTTTTTAAATGTTTTTAAAGACCCGGACACTCTTCGGATATTTGGAGAACACACGTGTCAATCGCTTAAATACACGTGTCTATCGATTAGACATATGTGAAACTAATTATAAGTTTAAACAAAACAACTTAAGATACAATAATAAAACAAAAACTATATAAATTTATAAGAATTGGTGTTATGTTACATTTTTTATTATCTTTGAATGATATATTCATATATATAACATATAATAAATATATAAAATTATATATTTCATGCGTGTCCCCCACGTGTCGTGTCTTGTAGTTTTTTGAAAATTAATGTGTCGGCGTGTCCGTGTTGTATTTGTGTCGTGTTACATATCCGTGTCCATGCTTCTTAGGTGCTAATAAATTAGAAAGTAGTAAATGAACAATTTTTGTTACTAAAAGAATGTACGCTATTTGGTGTAAGCCTCACTTTCTCGTCGATGAGCTAACCATCATTCAAAACAATCTTCACAGCATTTGAAAACTATTAGAAATATCTAGCAATCGAATCAAATATCAAAACTAAAGTTCGTATTTGCTCCAATTCACTCCCTCTCTCCCAACCCCGACCCCCCTTAGATTATAGAAAAGAAGAAGAAAACCATCCCCTATATCATGCTTTCCTTGTTCAATAAACTGCCTGAAGAAAATTATCCAACATGACATGCTATCCCCATTACCATATAACTGACCTATTAAACCATCCTAAAAGGTTACTTCACAAGATATAGATGGGTAGAGAAAGAATAAGCATTAAACAGCAGTAAATGCAGAAGTCAACATTAGAGTTTATTTCGACACAAAAAAAGCTATTAGGATATCAAGTTGTAATCAAAATGATAAAACTTCAAATCATTTGACTTTTTTATTTACTTTAAAAGAGTCTAATTGTTGCACATGCAGAGATTTTCTTTCACATTTTCCAGTTTTCAGTGTCACTTCATTTGTGCTTATTACAATATCTTCATGGGTTTCACTAATAACCTCTAAATACCAGATGATACTCGAAGAGAAATTCTAGTTTTATGATATGCCTGACATGGCCCCCGAGTTTTCGAGACCAAAACATCTCTGCACAGAGTATCACTGACCGCTCAACAACTAAGTGCTAAATTGAAATATTGTCAATTGATGAATCAATATAGTGATTTGGCTGTGTGTGTGTGTTTTTTTTTTCTTGTAATCAATTTTTGTGTTTCAACTAGAACTATTAAAATAAGAGTATATTCTATAGGCGAACTCAATTTTTTAGTTGAGCTTTTTATTTTTATTTTTATTTTTTTTTATCTCATATAGCTTTTGTACAAAGTTACACCCCTTCTGGCATCTTTCCTTAATATAACATCTTACTTAATCAAATATATGTCCCAATTGAGCATCCTTCACTATCAAATATCAATCTAACTTTACTATTATTTCCTTTACATTACTAGTAGAAGTCAACATAATTTGCTTGCTTTTTCCTGTTGTATCGACCATACCCTCCAATATCAATTTAGACTGTTTGGACATGATAATGAGTATGGATTGAGACCAGCTTTATAGAATTTGAAGACACAGAGACTGCAAGCTTTTTTTTTTTTTTAGAGTATATTCTATAGGCGAACTCAATTTTTTAGTTGAGCTTTTTTATTTTTATTTTTTTTTATCTCATATAGCTTTTGTACAAAGTTCCACCCCTTCTGGCATCTTTCCTTAATATAACATCTTACTCAATCAAATATATGTCCCAATTGAGCATCCTTCACTATCAAATATCAATCTAACTTTACTATTATTTCCTTTACATTACTAGTAGAAGTCAACATAATTTGCTTGCTTTTTCCTGTTGTATCGACCATACCCTCCAATATCAATTTAGACTGTTTGGACATGATAATGAGTATGGATTGAGACCAGCTTTATAGAATTTGAAGACACAGAGACTGCAAGCTTTTTTTTTTTTTTTGAACGAAGACTGCAAGTTCATCCCATCAAATTAAGCCACATAAAAATTTTAATACTGACAGATGTGATGTTTCATCTTCATTACAAAAGAACTAGCATGCTAATTATCAACTTTATAGCAGACAAAATGGATTTGATTCAAATAGTTCATGAAACAAACACAATCATGTGAATTAATATCCGCATAAAACTATAAACCTAATTTTAAGCCTACTTATGCTCTGAATGGATTAACCCAAAATACTATATACTTTGTCCATAATTTCAGTGCACAAACATAGTCAAAATCACTTAATTTTCCACTGAAATTTCCAAGAAACGCACCATTACGCTTGTACCCATATGAATAGATAGTATACATAATAGTAATACTTACGCAATAAAACGAAACACCATTTATATTTTCTTACCAAGTTTACTGATAATCTTTGGCTCCTAAAAGCTCCACAAATAAACAAGTAAACTGGTTATGCTCCAATTTGAATCAAATTCTAGAGAGAGAGAGAGAGAGTAACTCTGAAGTTCAGAGTGCAGACCGTAGAGCAGAGAAGATTGGTTTGGCGGATCATCACCTGTGCAGCTATTTTAGAGCATAGGGTTCTTTTTTGGGAAAATCACAGCCCTATCCAACCCTGTGCAGGACGACAGATTTAAGATTTTTTTTCTAGAAAAATGCCTTGGACGCCAGTGGGGACCCACCACCCCCTTCCCAACTAATTTTTGATTGGCTGAAAATTGGTTTTTCCTTTTTTTTAAACCTTGTCCTCACAGCTCCCACGTGGAGGTGGGTGCTGGGGTCGAATGAGGATCCTCTCCTTGCAGTTTTTGTACTTGCATCCGTCTTTGTAGGCTTTCGAGTTTACTTTTAAGTCCAATTTTGATAATCCGAACCGTTCATATTTTATGATTTATTCAGTATATCATACCTGTAAAAAATCAAATTGATCGGATATCAGAAAGTATGTGTTCGAAAAATTGAACAAAAAACTATTTTTTAAAGAATTTAATAAACAGTTTTCCGAACATATGCTTTCTGATATCCGATCAATTTGATTTTTTACAGGTATGATATACTGAATAAATCATAAAATATGAACGGTTCAGATTATTAAAATTGGGCCTAAAAATAGACCCGAAAACCTGTAAGGACGAGCACAAGTATGAAGCTGCAAGGAGAGAACCTTGGCTCGCTGGATCACCCCACTGGAGTCCCAGCAGTGTTTTCTTTTCTATTTATGGTTATATTAGAGATTTTTTTTATTATAAAATTAGATAAATTTCTTTATGTCAGGATTGGAACCTTTTTGAGTTGGGTCTAATTTTTTTGAGTTAATTAAATTTTTTCTCAAAACATTTACGGATTTCAATTACTACAAAAATATTATACATTCTTTATCTTATAAAATCTTTAAAAAAAATTCTCCTTATTTTGTGTGATTCCACCCCCTCCCCCTCCCTTCTTGGTTGATTTTTTTGTTTTTTTAAATTATTTAAATTAAATCTTCAAGCCAATTAAGTAAATTACAAATACACTTTATGAAATTTGTTTAAAATATAAATTCTTATATTTAATTTTTGAAAATTTCATCACCTCCCTTGAAATTTTTAATTTCAAAACAAATAGTTTATTTTATTAACAAATTATCAAGTCAATTAACAATTTTTAATAATGTTAAAAATTTATTTTAATCAATTATTCAGGTAATTTTATTGTTATATAGAAAAACAATAGGAATTTATGTTTTTAGTTAATTCTTTTAAATAAATTTTTTTGATAAAGAGATATTTATAATTTTTGAAAGGGACATTTACACACAATTCCTAATTTATGAACTTATACTCTATTAAGTCCTAACTAAGAACTTTTGATATTCAAGTTCCATTAAATTTTTAATAATCGAAATTGCCCTTCAAATAATGATTGTTTATCATTTATGATTATCTATAAACGAATATGATGATTTGATTATTTTGGTTTTCAAAATTTTAAAACATCAACTTCCAAATTGAAAAAACTAAAAAAAAATATGTGCAAAAAAAAAAAAAAGAATTATTTTTTGTGCAAAACTGAAAAAATTGTGTCTATGAAAGAGAATGATGATGGAATATTGATGTGCAAAACTGAAAGGAAAAAACTTTAAAAATGAAAAACTGATAATGTTTTCAGTTTTAAAACTAAGAAAAATTATTAATGTTCTCGGTTTTATTGGATAATTGAATCAAATTAATAAGTAGAAGGACAAAAATGTTTGATCTCACACTCTATTTTTTTTCATTAGTTAGTGAAACAATTATTTAGAACATTACGATGCAAAATTGATAATGTTCTTAATTTTAAAAATTGAAAAAAATTAATAATATTTTTAGTTTTACTAAATAGAACTTATTGGTTCAAATTTTTTTGAATAAGACCTGCGCTACCATAATATTTGTAAATAGAATTTTTAGATAATTAATTCTTTTTTAAACTATATGGGATAATCTATATTTTAAGTACATTTTAAGGGTGTATTTATAATTTACTGTTAAATTATATGGACAAAATTAAACTATTAGGTAAAAAGTGTAGTTAACCTTAATATAACTTTGAAAATCCATCCATTTGTTTTTTACTTTTATAGCAGATTGATAAAATAAAAAGTAGATGGGAAAAAATATTAAAATGTTGAGATTTGAAATTTAAGGACAAAAAATTGAAGCTGTTGTAGGGTAATCTAAGAATTAAAAATAATCATAATCAGTGTGTTTAGTTTGAGTTTTTTGAATTAAATTTTTTGAAAACTCAGTTTTTTAGTTTTTGTGTTTTTTTGTTTTTAGTGAATATTTTTAAAATTTTAAACATTTTTTTTTTATCTTTTTAGATGCACTTTACTTAGATGTATCTAAAAAGTAAAAAATTTGTGATTTTTTTTTTAAAAATTTAATAAATACATAAAAATACAAAAAATGTACTGAATTTTTATATATTTTTTTATATTTTTGGTATTTAGTGAATTTTTAAAAGGTTTTTTTCACAATTTTTTTTACTTTTTAGGTATATTTATGTTAGGTATGTCTAAAAAATAAAAAAAAAATTGCTTAAAATATTTAAAATTCAATAAAAACAAAAAAATACGAAAAATAAGAAAGTAAAATTTTCTAAAAAGTGTTTTTAGAAAAACACAACCAAACAAGCTAAATGCTTCGCCGAGTTGTAGTTTTGTATGATAGAATAAATATATTAGATATCTTATTTTTCATCCATTTATTTTCAGTTTTAATTCTTTTATTTTATTATTTATCAATTTTTGCTCCTAATATATTATATATTCTCTCATTAGTATTGCCTTATTTTAGAAATTAACAAATTTTTTTAATACTTCAATATTACCATATCTGATTACTTTCTCATTTTTTTTCACGTAATCAAAACATCACAAATCCAATCCTTTTATTTCTCTAACTAATTACAATATTGCAATGTCAATAGTAAGAATGTCTTATATTTGCCTTGCGACAAATCGCATTAACATATTTTTAAAGTTTAAAAATAAAAATTTATTAATATTAGTAAGATATA